GCACTTCAGGTGCAGACCACGGGCCAGGCTCTTGGGGTACTGCATGGCTCTGTGAGCGCACTTCAGGTCCAGACCACGGGCCAGGCTCTTGGGGTACTGCATGGCTCTGTGAGCGCACTTCAGGTGCAGACCACGGGCCAGGCTCTTGGGGTACTGGATGGCTCTGTGAACGCACTTCAGGTGCAGACCACGGGCCAGGCTCTTGAGGTACTGGATGGCTCTGTGAGCGCACTTCAGGTGCAGACCACGGGCCAGGCTCTTGGGGTACTGCATGGCTCTGTGAGCGCTGGTTTGACGTGATCAGCTGTGGGAATGGGCAGAGGAGTCTGCATGGCACAGTTACAAGGAAGGTCTCTAACCTCGCGAGATGTCTGACAGCCCTGTTTTCCCCACACCTTCAAAAGCATGACGACACAGGGGAACGGGCAGCAGTGGGCCCACGCAGGTCACAGGCAGGGATGCCCCGTGAGGGGCCGGGGCCCAGGAATGGGAGATACCCTTTCAGGAAGTTTCGTGCATAAAAACAAGGGGCACCAAGTTACCGAGTCAAGGTTCCAGGGGTTAGTGAAGGAGCCCTTCTAACCCGGACACAAAGAGGGGATTTGAGTTCTGTCTTAAGAATCGAACGGTCATATTAGGTGGGAAAATGAGCCAACACTGCAAAGGCCGAATAACTGAGTGAAACGATACTCGGCTGGCTTAAGCTGCAGTGGAACGGTCCCCCGGCTTCACACAGCTTACAGCACAAGTCTTCTGCTTTGAAGTGGAGCCGTTTGGCCCTCAGGAACTCACTCACTCAGGCGTTACGATGGAGGCTCAGCCTCCAGCGAGGAGTGAGGAGTGAGTTACACAGCAGCGGGTCTGGCTGAGCTCGGTGCCTGCTCCCAGCCCCCTCTCCCCCTCCTCTCCTCCCCCTCCCCCCCTTTCTGGGTTATTCTTAGCAAGAGGTGACCTCAGAGTGCTCCCACTGAGCAAAAATAACCCTGGAGGAAGTTGATGAATATAAATTTTCAATGAATAAGTATATATACCTAGTAAACAGGGCGGGGAGCCCTGAAAGGCTGGTCCCCACCCCAGGGTCTGGCGGGCA